TCTCTCTCTCTCTCTCTCTCTCTCTCTCTCTCTCTCTCTCTCTCTCTCTCTCTCTGTGCGTGTCACACACACACACACACGAGCGTCGACGACGATCGAAAACGAAGAAGGGGGGGGACACTCACCTTGCGATGGTTGACGCCCATCAAAAACGAAGACGACAGGAGGTTGGCCTTCACGAGCGCGTCAAGAAAAATGGCGGCGGCGCGTCAACAAGAACACTGTTCGAAATTTAATTCAAATTTCCAGCGCCGAACTGCTGCAGGGGCGTCACAGGAAGATGGGTGCTCCTTACGAGGGCATATGGCACATAGCCCAATGGAATGGGACCGCCGGTTGAGGGAGGGCGTAATGGAAAGTTGCGCCACTACCGACGGGGGCCTGCCAGAAATATTTTCAGGCCCAGGGGAGCGGCAGGGTATTTCGCATGTCGGAGGGGCACAACGCAAATAAATGGAAAATACAGGGGCGCCAGACAAATTTTCCCTTATTATTTTTATTTCCAAATTTCTTATTTCTTATTTTTATCCCGTTTCTTGAACGTGGTCCGGCGGTGGCACCAGGACCGGCCGTGGACCCAATAACCTAGCTCAGGGGATACACCACTGAGCCGTTGAAGTACAGACACAAGTTCGAAACCAGATAATGGAAAATGATGGGTAATACTGAATATTTTTGAGTTGGCTGGGCCCGGTCAACGTGCGAAGGAGTCTTGGGGACGCAGTCTACGGCATAGTCCTTCGGGACATCCGTTAAAATTGGGACGATACAGGAAAGATTGGGCTGGCCCCTGCACAAGGCTGACTCGCATAAATAGGGGGGTCGAGCCCTCTCTTCGTTTGCTATGGTGGATGCTGTCCGAGAAGGTGAGGCAGCGCAGATTACTGGGGGAGAGGTAGTATAGGAGGAGAAAGAGGAAGAGTTAGAGAGGAGAAAGATAGCGCACGAGGGCGCAGCGCCACGAGAGGGGAAGCAGCCGAGACAACAAAAAAACAAAAAGGGGGGGGAATGAACCTGGACGCGATTTCGCGCCAGGTACGTTCGAAGGAGAAAGGAAGGGAAAGGAGTGAAGACGAGTGCAAATTGAATTGCTCGGCCGTTTCTCGGCCGTTTTTGGCAAACAAAGATACCAAACCGGGGTCTTAGATCATTCTGGATTGATTGGCCATGTCAGAAAGTCAATCTGAGTAGCGTAATAATTAGTATGAGGTAAGAAGGTTGCGCGGTAGCAGGAGGAAGGAGGATGCATGGATTCTGCTAATGTATCTTATCCTGTTCTAGCGGGAGATACATTTCT